GGACAGCAGGGTTTTTGTTTTGTTTTTTTTCTTCCTTTAAATCAGTAATGACATACTGGCATCCAGGATCAAACCAAAGTCATACAAGATTGGGACAAAAAAAAAAAATATTTCTCAGGATAATTTTGTTCTGTGGCCTTTTAGTGCCATCTGCTGTTCAGCTATGGAAAGCAAGTGATTCTAATATCGGAGCCTACAGAGGGATTTCCTTTATTCATGTGCTGTCTGCCAAAGTATGTCCCGTACAGTAGAACTGAAGGGTAAATCTGAAATTGAGCACTACAAATCTCTTGCTTTATAGAGGTTCATAGCCTAATGAAAGCAAAAGGCATTCAAACAGATGTTACAAAGTGTTTTCTAATCATAGGGATGTATATAAGACAGAAAAAAGATCCTTAGGTCAAAGGGCTACCCTGTAAGGATGTGCATGTGTGTGCATGCACACGTGTTTTCCACTTGGGTGAGGGTCAAACTTAGATCCTCATGCTCCAACAGCATAAACTTTATTTCTAGACTGAGCTATGTCTGGAGCTCCATTATAAAGATTTACCAGGTAGTATGAAGGTGGAGCCAAGGAGGTACTCTAGGCCAAAGAGGGAGTGTGTGCAAAGATCTCACACACATTCCATTGGGAAGCAGCTTAGTTGGTATTGTTTTATTTATTTATTTATTTTATTTTTAGACACAGTCTCACTATGTAGGCCTTGCTGACCCAAGAACTTTCTGTGTAAATCAGGCTGGCTTCAAACTCAGTGATCTCTCTGCCTCTGCCTCTGGAATGCTGGGATTAAAGACGTGCTACTATGCCTGGCTTAATTTATATCCTGTAGACAATAAGGAATACTGGTTTTAGGTGGAGTGTATTTTGGTCAGATTGACACCATAAAAAACATTCTGGCAGTAAGCAATGTGAAAATAAATTAGAAGAAAACACTACTGGGAAAAAGACCTGTTACTAGCACTTCCTGAAGATCCAGCTATATTGCTAAGCATATATCCAAAAGACGCTCAAGTATACAACAAGGACATCTGCTCAACCATGTTTGTAGCAGCTTTATTTGTAATAGCCAGAAGCTGGAAACAGCCCAGATGCCCCTCGGTTGAGGAATGGATACAGAAATTGTGGTACATCTACAGAATGGAATATTACTCAGTGATAAAAAACAAGGAAATCATGAAATTTGTAGGTAAATGGTAGGAACTGGAAAAGATCATCATGAGGTATCCCAGAAGCAAAAAGACACACAGGGTATATACTCCTAAGTGGATACTAGACATATAATATAGGATAAACATACTAAAATATGTACACCTAAGGAAGCTAATCAGGAAGGAGGACTCTGGCTAAGATGCTCAATCCCCATTCAGAAAGGCAAAGAGGCTAGACATCGGAGGAGGGAGAAAACAAGGAACAGGACAGGAGCCTACCACAGAGGGCCTCTGAAAGGCTCTAGCCTGCAGGGTATTGAGGCAGATGTTGAGACTCATAGCCAAACTTTGGGCAGAGTACAGGGAATCTTATGAAAGAAGTGGGAGATAGTAAGACCTGGAGAGGACAGGAGCTCCACAAGGACAGCAACAGATCCTAAAATTCTGGGCACAGGGGTCTTTTCTGAAACTGATACTCCAGCCAAGGACCACTCATGGAGATGGCCTGGAACCCCTGCACAGAGGTAGCCTATGGCAGTATAGCATCCAAGTGGCCTCCATAGTAATGGGGACAGGGACTGTCTCTGACATGAACTGATTGGCCTGCTCTTTGATCACCTCCCCCCGAGGGGGGAGCAGCCTTACCAGGCCACAGAAGAAGACAATTCAGCCACTCCTGATGAGACCTGATAGACTAGGATCAGAGGGAAGGGGAGGAGGACCTGCCCTATCAGTGGACTGGGATAGGGACACAGGTGGGGAAAGAGGGAGGGTGGAATTGGGAGGGAGGTACAGGGGGGATACAAAGTACATAAACTGTAATTAAAAATAAATAAATAAATAAATTTAAAAAAATGTGAAAGTAAAAAAAAGACCCGTTACAAGCATATGTATGTGTGCATATATAAATTACAATATATATTGTATATATATAATACATATATATAAATGTGTAATATATATATTACAATGCTTATGTATATGTCTGTATACATATATATGCATTGGTGTGAGGGTGTCAGATTCCCTAGAATTGGAGTTATAGACAGTTGTGAGCTGCCATGTGTGGGTGCTGGGAATTGAACCCTGGTCTTCTGGAAGAGCAGTCAGTGCTCTTATCCGCTGAGCTAGGATTATTTCAACCATTAGTAAGTAACAGGAAAGTAGATTAAGAGAAAGCCTATGAGAAAGAAGATAGGGGTGTGTATGAGATACTTCAGGTAATATTAACAAAGTTGCTATTTCATTGTTTAAATGATAGAGTTCAAGGGAACTGGAAGAGGTGTTTGATTTGGGTAACTGGATGAAAGAGGAAGTAGCTACCCATTTCCTTCTGAATCATGTTGAATTTGAAATCCTATACTCACAAGATAAATGGAAACTGGGTCTAAAGTTTAGTAATATCTTCATTTTCAGAACTAGACATTTTCTATCATAAAAAGAATTGTTTTCAACATAAATACTCCAACAACCCATGTGTTGACTAGTTTTATGACAAAATGACCACAAGCTATACTCACTGGAGAGGGAGCCTCAGATGAGAAAATGCTTTCATAAGACTGGGCTGTAGGCAAACCTTTAGGGCATTTTCTTAATTAGTGACTGATGTGGAAGTGCCCAGCCCACTGTGGGAGGGACCATCCCCTGCATTGGTGGTCCTGGGCTTTACAAGAAAGCAGCTGAGCAGGCCACAGGGAGCAAACTAGTAAGCAATGCTCCTTCATTGCCCCTGCATCAGTTCTTGTCTCCAGATTCCAACCTGGTTTGAATTCCTGTCTTGTCTTATTTTGATGATGAACAGTTATGTGGAAGAGTAAGCCAAAAAAAAAAACCCCTTTTCTTCCCCAAGTTGCTTTGACCATAGTGTTTCACCACAGCAACCCTAAGACAAGCCACTTCCCTTGAATTTGGCTAACTGTGCCTATCTAACCATCTTTTCAATCTGGCATTCCAATATTGTCACCCTCTTTAAGTTCAAAACAGTACAACACAACACAGAAAGTATGGTTGATACTGCTACTGATTATTTAACGATTTATTTTTGTTTACGTCTGTGTGTCTGCCAGCTATGCATGAGTACCTGAAGAGGTCAGAAGAGGACCATTGATCCCCACTTAACACTGGTGCTGGAACTGAACTCAAGCTACTAACTTCAAGTTGTTACCTGAAAAAAACATACTTCATCACTTGCAAAGACTCTAACACCTCTTCCTCATTGTTGAGAGTTTAAAATAAAGCACGTGTATACAGGGCCTGACATTCAGAGGTACTGAATACATGTCAGTATTATCTTGTATATCATATAAATTCTCTATACTGGCACTCAACTCTTACTAACTGAATCAATAAATTTTTTTGTTTGTTTTGTTTTGGTTACAGGGTTTCTTTCTGTGTAGTGGTGGCTGTCCTAAAACTTGCTTCGAACTCATAGAAATCCTCCTGCCTCTGCCTTCCACGTGCTGGAACTTGTGTGCTCCAACACACCTGGAGGGTCAAGACATTTTTATATTTTCTGCAAAACAGCTGATTAACACTGTTCACACTGAGTATTAGTAATTTATAAAGATCAACAAGATTAATTCCTTTTAATATAATGTCAATTTTCTCCCTCTTTTGAATACTGAATTTATTTTCTATTAGTTAAGACTTACATTTATTTATTTATGGCTTCTGGAGATAGGGTTTCTGTATAGCCTTGGCTGTCCTGGACTTGCTTTGTAGACCAGGCTGGCCTCGAACTCAGAGATCCACCTGTTTCTGCCTCCCTCGGTGCTGGGATTACAAAGTGTGTGCCACCATAATGGTTTATTTTTGTTTATGTCTGTGTGTCTGCCAGCTGTGTGTGGGTATCCAGAGGCCAGAAGAGGCCTGTCGAATCCCCTGGAGCTGGAGTTAGAGGCAGTTGTGAACTTGACATTGGTGCTGGAACTGAACTTCAGGTTCTCTGGAAGGGCTCCTAACAGCTGAGCATCTGCAGGCCCCTGAATGGGCAATTTCTGAACCAAAAGAGGCTGAGTGACACTGTAGAGCTGCTCCATACTGGCTAGTGTTATTTGCTCTCAATATGCTGGCGATACCTTTTTCACTGAGAAATTATTACATCCTGGCATTGTACCACTTTACCTTCACACATTTTTTTTTTCACTTAAGTCTTCTTTGCAACCCGTTGAGGCATTGCTAACACTTTTCAGAAAAGGAAAAAAAAAAACTATGGTTCAGAAATATTTTTGGTAGTTATTCAAACGAAAGCATTCTAAACTTCTAACATTCCTCCTCTTAATCTCCACTGGATATTAAATATTTTGCAACTTGATTTTTCTCCGCCTTTATTTTCTTAAGGTGGGAGTCTTGTATCTGTCTCAGCATTCACTCAATCAATAGCGGAAATAGAAAAAAATAAAATCTTGGGGCTGAAGAGTCGGCTAGGTAGTTAACAGTACCTGCCACTGTTTCAAAGTCCTAGGGTTCGGTTCCCGGGAACCTATTATCAGGTGGCTCGTTCTTCTGACCTCGGAGAGCAACTGCACGCACGTGATGGGCATAAATTCACGAGACACACACATACATGTAAGTTTTTAAAAAAACAAGTAAAATTTAAAAGGTTAAGATCTCTTGGGTTGCAGGCAGGGCTAAATCGATAATAAAGCAATATTGAAGCCTAAACGGAAGACACGACTGGCCCGCTAAACCCCAAATTTGAGCCCCTGTGGTTCTAGGATTCTTCCGACTCATGCCGTCAACACTCAGAGGGTGGGGAGAACAGAACCACTGAACCCTTTCTTCTCCGGTACAGAGAGCTGAACCCGAGGTCCTGCAAGTGGGTGGGATCTGGCCCACGCTCGCCTCCTTACCGGCTTGGAGCACTCAGCAACACGCCAGGCGCACACCACCCAAGGCCCCGTCCCCACCGCACTCGCCGCAGGTCAGAGGCAGGAGGCGGCCCTTGAACGGAGCCGTAGCGCGCCAGCCAATCAGAGGAGCCCGGCTGGGCCTCTGGCGAGCCACAGAACTGGGCCTCACAGAGCTTCGGCCCTCCTCCGAGGCGGGGGTTCTCTGGCTGGGAACGTCGCGAGACCGTACAAACGGAACCATTGGTAGAAGGACGGACCTGGGGGTTCCGCCCCCCGTCCCCTCGGATCCCCAATTGGCCCTTTAGAGGAGAAGGCGGCCAACGACGGCGGGCACTCCGAACGGCCATTGGCCGGCAGGCGGGCCGGCGTCGGCGCGCGCGTTCGAACTGGTGCGTGGCGGCGTTGCCATGGGGACGTGGCCTGGTCGGCCCCGGAGTCGGGTTGACCGGACCCTCAGGTAGCCCGGCCTTAGGGCTTTCTCCAGGCGGCATTAATCCTCTTGTCCGCCGAGGAAGCTGACTGAGGAGGAGGCCGTCAGGCCCTGAGGTGAGAAACGGTGGCTTCGGCGCGGGCCGAGGCTCTGCGCCTGCGCGGGAGAGGGTGCGCCTCTCCCCGGAGCGGCGTGTGTGTGCCGGGCAGCGAGAACTGGGCGTCTTCCGTTTCTCCGGTTCACGCACTGTCCCACGTTTCTTCTTCCTATCCAGGGTTTCTTCAGCAACTGTCTCGAACACCACCATTCTTGGGGCTTTTCTGAGTCCCCAGAGCCCTCTTGCCTTTGAAACAGAGCGCTTCTATTCGACTCTGGATTGTTGTCCGTACTTCCGGAAAGCTCGTTCTCCTTTTTCTTATAATCTTGAACTCTGAGATAAAACAAGATAACACAGATTTGTTCAGTTGAATTTAACTCACTACAAATAGATAAGATTATCTTTCATGCCTTGTTCCATTCAAGCACGATTTGGGGCAGGTGGAAGAGAAAGGACACCCTAATGTCATATGCCAAAGAGCCTAAACTTTTAACGTGTTACGCCAAGTCTCGCGGACCCCAGAGACCACCAGGAGCCGATTCCGATGCAAACACAGTGGGGTCTTTGTTACAAGCTCCAGCTCTGAGTCACCGACCCAGCGGTGTAGAGCCCAGAGCTCAGGAAGAGGGGGGTTTTTATTGAGGGTTACATCAAGGTTCGGGAATTCCAGCTTAGCAGTTTTATGATTGATTGACATTTAGTAAATATTGGGTGTCCGGAGGGCCAAACCGTAATTGTTTTACTTACCCTATTGTAAAGAACACCTGGGTAAACTTCAGGTGTTCACTGAGTAGCGGTTGCTAGGGGTTAAATATTACCAGAGGTAAGTGCTCATTTTGTTGGTTTTCCCCCCGTTTTGAAAGTGGAGTTTATGCGCAGGTCATTTACCCTTAAGATGGAGTTTCTTTTTCAGAAATGGGGTTACACAGGCCTCACAAATATTGGCTAAATTACCACCTTTTGTGGAAGGTAAAATCGTGAATTGGTTGTTGCTCCAACTCTCCGCACATTGTAGTCTGGTCTACTAGTACCTCTTATCAGACCCCAAAACGTATTTACTTAACACAGACCATTCTGTTGTCATATGCCAGAGGATTTCCTCATTATTTAGTGACCTATAACGCTTGTCACATTTTATCTGTAATCTCTTATTTGAGTTCTTTCACTTGCGTTATTTGTGTGTGTGACACATCACTCAAGTGAATTCAGGGCAGAGGATAGCTTTGAGGAGTTGGTTCTCATTTTCCATTTGTGGAGGCGGCTTGTTTTCGCTGCTGCACTGAACCCTCCAGGCTATTCCTGTCATTTCCCTCCCCAGCAACCCCTATCCCCCACTTCTCCATAGGAATGCTGGGGTTACAGATGTGCACTACCACATATGACCTTTGATGTGAGTTCTGGGCATTGAACAAGGGTCATTCGGCTTATGGATTATGTTCATTTACCTACCAACCCAGTTCCTTGGCCCTTGCTTGAGGTTTCTTTTTTAAATTTTATGTGTATGAGTGTTTGCCCGTGTATGATGTATGTGCACTTTTGTGTGAGTGGTATGAAGGGAGGCCAAAAGAGGGTATTGGATCCCCTAGAATTGTAGTTACCGACAGTTGTGAGACACCATGTGGGTGCTGGGAATAGAACTCTGGTCCTTTGAAAAAACAGCTAGTGCTCTTTTAAGTGCTAAGCAATCTCTCCAGCCCCAATTTTTTTTTTTTTTTTTGGTATAGCATTTTACATTGTAGTCCAGGCTGTCCTGGAGCATGCAATAACCCCTCTGTTCCAGCTTCTCAAGTGCTGGAATTATAAATAAAAGCCAGCACACTCAGCTTGGAAATGTTTTAAAATATTTATTATTAGTTGTTGTGTGTGTCTGTGTGATCAGAGGACAGCTCTTGGGTAGTAGGTTCTCTTCTACAGTGTGGCTCCTGGCGATTTACTTAGGTCATCAGGCTTAGCAGAAAGTGCCCTTATCTGTTGAGCCCTCTTGCCAGCCTTTAAAACATTTTTTCTTTCTATTTATATTCTACAGAGAGATTTTTGTGGCCATTCTCTTCAGCCTCTGTCCATTCATCAAGTATCCATAATCCTGTTATATTTACAAGACTATTTCGTTGTTGACTTGTAGCCTATATATTCACAGTATTATTGCTGATTATTCTTTCTTATATGAAATTCATATTTAGAGTTAACTTTAATGAAAAGTTTAAAAATGTTGCCAGGCAGTGGTGGCTCACACCTTTAATCCTAGCACTTAGGAAGCAGAGGCAGGAGGATCTTGGAGTTCAAGGCTAACCTGGCCTACAGAGTGAATTCTAGGACTGCCAGGACTGCACAGAGAATCTTGTCTTGAAAATCAACAACAATAAAATGTCAAGTATAGCAGCTGTTGTGGTTTGGGTATTGTGATGTTTAGTGTTAATTGTCAACTTGACAAAACCCAGAATCACCTGGAAGAAGGTGATGTCTATGGATTGTATTAATCGAGGTGGAAAGACCTCACTGTAGGTGACAGCATTCCCTAGGCAGGGAGTCCTGGACAGTGTAAGTGGAGAAAGTAAGCTGACGACTAGCATACATCAATTCATTGTTCTCTTTAAGTTTTGTTTGGTTTGTTTTTGAGACAGGATTAGACTTGACTATCCTAGAACTCAGTGTAGACCAGGCTGGGCTCTAACTCACAGAGATCCACCTGCCTCTGCCTCACAAGTGCTGAGATTGAAGGTGTGAGCCATCAGGGCTGGAGAGATGGCTCAGCAGTTAGAGCATTGGCTGCTCTTCCAGAGGTTATTCAATTCCCAGCAACCACATGGTGGCTCACAACCATCTATAATGATGCCCTCTTCTGGCATGCAGGTGTACATGCAGATAGAGCATTCATATAATAAATAAATAAGTGAATAAATTTTAAAAGAAAAAAAAAAGGTGTGAGCCATCAATGCCTGGCATGGACTTCCTTTTTATATGTGTATATGTGTCAGTGAATATATGCATACTTGTGAAGGGTCCATGGAAGCCAGAAGAGGCATCAAATCTCTTGGGAGCTAGAGATACACATGATTGTGAACCACCTATAGTGGGTTCTGGATAAGCAGTCAGCCCTGTTATGATTTTCTTACCTTCCATTGTAGAAGAAATGGCAGTTTCTCTAGGTTGCTGTTTTGTTATGTGCATAGTGAAGGTCTGAACTTTTCTCATACCTGTTCCTCATCGTGTGATCTGTTGACCCAGTTTCTCCCTGTAGACTTAGCAAACTTGTTCCAACTTTCTGTACCACTAGGAGGTCCTTAACAAGTTTTGGATCCCAGCACTCTGGAAACAGAGACAGATGGGTCTCTTGTGCATTCAAGGCCAATTTGGTCTATATAGTGAGTTCCAGGCCATCAGGGCTACATAAGACCCTGGTCCAAAACACACACACACACACACACACACACACACACACACACACACACACA